CTGAGCATTCCCCAATGCCCTCGTCTCTCCTGATGCGCCTTGTAGCTGCTTCCTCGTGGGTACCCACACGTTCATCGTGTAGATTGCATATTTCTTTTACTGATCTTGTGATGGCAGCTCGTGTATAATCAAGGTAGTTTTGTTTCACTTGAGATGTTTGGGTTGTTTTGATTTATCTATATACACGCCTCGCGTGTTCGAGTTTAAAACATTTCGATTAGCGTTTATTGTATGGTAATGGCTTATTTTAATTTATTGTATTTCAGTTTTTGCGAACTTTCCAGTGATTAATAAACCAGTTGAGACTGATGGACGCTTGGAGGTTCCGTTAAGATAAGACATTTCCACGACGCGGCGTTGTTCAAGTTTGATTTGATTTATGTCAGCGTCCGCTCCATTATACTAGATATTTAATTTGTTTTGTTCTTGAGCGATTTTTTTTTCTTCTTCTAAGGTATAGCTGATGGACTAACCCTACTGAAGAACACATAATGAGTATGTGTAAGATAAACGTGATCGAGTTTTTTCTGAGAAGTAAATGACATTTGATCGTAGCAGGATAAAAGACAGATTTCATATTTGATGAGGTCACGTGACGGATCACACGATATCGAGAATGTCCTTTTTTTGGCTTTTTTCAAAAGGTCTTAATAAGCACTCTCATGTGTGACAATTTGTTGAGTTTTGGTTGATAGCAGACGATTTTAAAGGCCATTTTTGAACAGAGCCTCGCTATTGTGGCCAGAGCCAGGTTGAGGTAATTAATTCCCGATATCTTCTTCCCTGACCACAAATCAATTGTACAAAGAACCTGACATTAAAGAGCAGTCATTGTTCTATAAGAATGTGGCATCGAACCTTTTCTGAGTGGTGGGTTGTGCATTTTGCCATTTTTCGGGACTCTGCTCCTAGACAAATTCATATGTACCTGCATTTTTTTAGCTGAAGAATTACCCATGTAACTGGTCACAAAGTAAAAAATAAACCCTCGTTTCGGTTTCCTTTTTTCATTATTTATTTTCTACTTTAATTTTTATTCTTTTTTTCTCAACTGAAGGGAATAACAAGCTGAAAAATCTATCAGTTTGTGGTCGCTCCCTGTTATCCAGGCTATTCAACACATTATTCTCACGGCCTTAATGTGTGATTTAGTGGAACTTTGAACTTTATCCTGTAGGAATTTTAGGGTAATTCATGATTTATACTTCTTTTCTAAATATGTTAAGAATATACATGATTTAGATATTTTTGACTATATATATGTTTCGTTTCGCTCTTGTATCAAGTCTCTGAGAAATATTGATTATTGAACACTTGATGTCCCTTTTAGTCGCTCAGAAACTTTTAAGAATTCATTTTTTACTAGGGTTTGTCGCGCATGGAACGAAGAAGAAACGCGAGAAATTGTATAATTATTTTATTTCAATGCGATTTTTTATCTTAATGATCTTATTTCTGTTATAATTTTAGAATAGTTTTTAACGCTAATTTTTTAACTAGGTAAATAACCAAGGCGACTTATTTTAAGGAATCTTGTATTCTGTTTTAAGCTGTACTCGAATTGATTCAATTGACTTGTTCAATGTAATTAATTTTGAATTTGTATTAAAGTATCGTTAAAGTTAAAGTTAAATTTCGGGTCACGGTCGTGACGTGGGAGAGACACGTACGACCTTTTCAAATTGGAATAAAAGCCATCTATGACTTTAAACAAATTGTGCGTGTTGATCATCGTCAGCAACCTTGTTTTTATCATACTCTGTCTTTAACTACTAAGCAATATTCAGTAATATACTTGGTGTACATTTAACAATAGAGAAGCATTGACTGTGCTCTGTCCCGTTGCAAAGCACGCAGTAGGCGGCCAGAGCACGAAAGAAGTGTAGGGGGAAACACGAGACGTTGTCGAGTGTTTCTCCCCACTTCCTGGGTTGTTTAAGTTTCTTAAGTTGTAATATAAGGTCGTATCGAGAGTAAGAGGTGACCAACGAGCTTTTTCATTTTTGCAGTATAGCTTCTAATATAAATCATTTTTATTTCGTATTCCTAACACCTAAATAAGCTGGAAATAACATACACTTGGTGCCAATCTCGTTTTCTGAGACTGTAATTAAAACGTGAAAAGCTGTACCACGCTTCCTTATTAACTCACGATTTATTCACTTGATTTGACGATTTTCCTAAAAAACTCTTCGGTTAACTCCCACTCACAACTCTCGGCTTATTCGAAGGAAACACACACTAGACGTCCCGTTGAAAGCACATGGAACAGTACCATATATGGGGCGATGAAACACGTGCCGCATACATGTTTGTTTGGTTCTGTAAAGATAAACGAAATCACTCATAATAACTGGGATACCTGTGGTAGCCCAGTCATAAAATGCATTTGTTTTTTTGTTGTCTTTTTTTTTCCTCCGCCGCGAAATGGGAAAATCGCGCAATAGTACCCAGTGGTCATTGGGCCCCCAACACCATGACAACTAACTGTGATCCAATGAGATGTTCACATGCTGATCACGCGTGTTATCTTGATGATGATTGACGTTGTCATGCACGGACAGGGCCGTGTCACATGACGAACCACGAGATTTTTTCTTATAAAACTCTTCTGTCAGTCGTTTTGTATTTCAACGTGTTTGGCTTACGATCACCTGGAGCATTATGACGCAAACCCTTAAAATACTTACAGACGCATACACAAGTCGTATTGTTCCCGGCCAATCCACACTAAAAGATGTTATTGAGCGGTAATTTTGGAACGGATTGAGTCGCGAACGCTTGAAAGCCATGAAAGCCTTGAATGCCTTGTATGCCTTGTATGCCTTGTATGCCTTGTATGCCTTGTATGCCTTGTATTTCAAGTAAGCCAATGTCTTAGTTGAAAAACGTACACTTGTTGTAAAAAGCACAATCTGAAATCTGAAATCAAACTGCATATACTCTATGCAATCTATTGAACAACACTACAACCGTGAGACTGAAGAACAAAACTGTAATGGATGCAAACTGCTTGTGAAGAAAGATGCCATGTTGGATTCACTTGATGCCAGGGAACGTAGCTACAACAGCAGTGCGAATGGTATTAATTTCACGATCAGAAAGGTGAATCTTATGTTTGTTTTCATTGTAGTTGTATGGATATTCTTTTTTAATAAATACATGATCCAAAATCCTGTGTTTTTTGTGTAGAATGTTACTATGTTAAGTATTGTTTACGCAATTGTCTTGTCACGGGCGGCCCAAGCTCACGCCACGAGAAAAAGCCAACGATTAATTCATGAACGCGTCACGCGTTGTGTGACTCAGGGTTAAGTTACGAGAGGAACCGTTAAAAATTTGAACACGTTATAAGGAATAGTGTAGGGAACGAAATATGGTCGATTTACAACGATTAATATTTCGAAATATGAACATATTTCTCGTAAAATCAATAAAAATTACTCATACCCCGTGTATCCGTTGTAGTTTCTGGCGATTTCTGCCGTTTTAAGCTTGCTTTACCATCACTGTTATTCACGTTATCTACTTTTATTACGTTGGTAAAATCTGTACAGACATCACACCAACCAACTCGAGCGCAAAGTAAGAAAATATATTGAAGGCTTGAAATTATATTACGATCGATTTTCATCAAGAAATGGGCCAGGAATTTTCCACAATAGTGCAAATAATCGTGAAGGCTGATCGCGGAAAAGCGATTGCGTGACGCTCAGTGAACTGTAAAATGACATGTTATTATATACCAGACGTAAAAACTCTTCAGATTCTCAGCCTGCATTTTGTACCCATTCTACAGTCTGCAGTCTATATTGTGTATCCAGTCTGCAGTCTGCTATCTGCATTTTGTACTAACAGGTATCCGTGGCACCAATACAGTATATTTTTGGTTAGGCCATCCCAATTTAATGTTTTGTTTCCCATCGCCCTCCCTCTCGTGAGGGTGGGTCGGTCGGTCGGGCAAAAAAAAAAAAAAAAGGGAACGAACACTTGAAAGGGCCTGGGTGCCAGGGAAGGCCGGGCTGCTAAGTACGAAAGCTTGGTTACAAAGTCAACTCGAAAACGTGGTTCCTTCGTTCGATATTCTTTATCTACAATGGCAGACAGTAACTCATGTGCGCTTGTGATAAGATTACGAAAAGAGAAGAGAGTTGTGGCCTTACCTAAGGTAAAGTTCCTTGACAAGAACTTGTCGTTTCAAGAAGTGTTTACCGATGTGTATGATGGAGATTTACATGTACGTGTCAAATGCAGAGTGGGATTTAAGAAGCCTGGAGATGCAGAACCGAAAGATTTTGTTTCGGTCGATCTCACAGAAAACGTTGGAGCGATTGTTAATGCCCTCAGTGCGAACTTTGTAGATTTTGATGTTCTAGACGAAGAACCACAGGCAAAAGCTGTCAAGCCATTGAATGCTTTCGACGTTCTGATGAAAGCCGCGAGCACAGAGATACTTCCGCCGGAACTGCATAACCGTCCTCTGCAGCTTGCAAAAATCCTATACCCTGGTGCAGGTTTTCCTCCTGCAGAGGTGAAATCTTCAGGTGCGTGTCTATTTTAGAATGTTGGTTTTTCCTCTTTTAATTTATACAATGGTATACAATTTATACAATTATTATTAAAAATTATTAAATGTATTAAAAAACAAATACTCCATCGGAAGTCTTCAAAGCGAAACAGTTTTGTTAGAATTTCTGTGAATGCATACTGATTTGATGCCTCTCTCTTCTAAAATTTCTTGAACAGTATAAATAAATATATTATTTTTCCTGTTTCTTTTATCATGTTGCATTTAACTGTCATATCCACAAAAATGGCGCGCAATGTTGCGGGTGTTTGAAGGATTTAATATGTTTCGACTCATACCTCGAATTCAAATGTTGTGTCTCGTATGTATTTATGTAATACATATAAATATATTATTTTTTACAAAAGGTGTTGCGTTTTTCAAGAAGCTTACCAACATAGCTTGGTACTTGGATCCTCGCATTCCAAAATTCATCGAAAGAAGCTTAAAGATGCCAAAACTAATTATGGGGTTGTATGATGATATTGATAACGTGGCGTTGGCGGCATCACCCCAGAGTTTCATTGGGTAAGTTTATATTATTATGATTCCCATAATCAGGACGTTATCTTTGATGTTTACAGTCCAATGAAGAGTGTCTTGATAAATAAAAAATGCTATGAAAATATCTGTATTTAGATACAATGACTGGAGAGGGAAGAAAAAAGCAAGACCTCAGATATTACATGAAGAATTGTCAGAGAAAGTAGCAGAGGTTTATGACATGCAGCAATTTGCGTGGCTTGCAAGGTCTGAGTGGAAAACTTTTAAACAGGTAGGCATTAATAATAGTACGTTGCTTCCACTTAAAAATAACCTTAGCGGTGAAAATAGATGGCATGACGTAAAACACGTTTAATAGGGCTTGTGCTAAACGATAAGTTATTTGTTCTATTCCAGGATCTTGAAGAGATTGGAAATAGTATGAAGAAGTATCATTACAAAGCCTTTGATGACATCTTTGGCCAAGACACCGTAGAGGTTGATCGTCCTGGGGCAAAGACCCAAGAGAACAAGTCTGGGAAGGCTTACTTCACAAAAGAGAAGGTGCGTGACGCAGTTGAATGTGTGAGCTGTGGCAAGTGGAGGTGCGTGTATGCTCCAACTAAACCGCCTCGTGCAAGCACGGATCAATTCCATCAGGCTGTAGATACCCTTATGTACACTTGCGGAGCTCCAATCCTCCCAGAAGGACATCCTGTAGCAGAAATCTTCATCGTACGCCAGGATATTTCATGCAGTGATCCAGTGGAAAAGCAGTATTATTCGTGCAAAAACTTTGACCTGATCTGTTGCAGATGTGGAAGCACAGAACCCGATGCACTAGTGAATGAAGAGATGAAGCGCCAATACAAAGTGGTTAACCCTGTTTGTCGGGCCTGCTCGGAAAAGGGTGCCAAGCCTGTTGTCTCCGCCCCGAAAACAGTGACAGCATCCGCCGGAAAGAAGAAGAAGAAACCTTGAATGCAACTTCGTGTTAGAACTAAACTTTCATGATCATCAGTCGCCCCCACTATGAGATTGAAACTGACAAGCAAGACTGTTAGAAAGTTACTGTTTAATGAAGAAAGCTGTCTTGACGAAATGTTCTTTTCCAAGAAACATTCCGTTTGTGTCCCAGTTACTTTTGCATGTTAAATCTCACATTTGGTCTTGAAGATATAATCGGATGGTGAAAGATGTATATTAAAACTACTGTCAAATTTCTAAAAAGGCTTTAAAAACGTTGTATCGATGTTAATTTATGACAATTGGTGTAAATACGACAAGATCATGTGCTTGTTAATTAAAGTACTTGCCTCTTTGACTAGTGAATCAAGAATTTTTTTTTTTACTTTTCCAAAAAATTGGGTCGGTCGGGCGATTGGAAACGAAGCATTAAATTGGGATGGCCTTACATTTATTCGCACAACACACATAATCTACCACAAAATACCTGTGTGTGAGGTAATTCGACATTTTCGTTCTTTTCCGCGTTAATACTCTTCTTCCCTTTTGTAAGAATGTCGACCACTTACAATGTTTCAAGTAATCCACCCACACTACAAAAAATAATTCTTGCATGCATAGCATGCCTATGTTTTGAAATCGGTGTATGCCCTTAGCCAGACTTGAGCTCACTATTTCAGTGTACTAGTCCGACACCCGTAGTATCACTACACTTGATTCCAAGGATCCTGTACCATCCAGGTATCCCAGTTACCCTGCTCACAGGGTCTAGTTGTCAATCATATTAAGAATAATTAACGCATCATACAGTTTGCCATAATTAAACCACAAAGAGTAAGGTCAATCGAGTGTGAACGCTTTCGGGCGTACCTGTCACGCAAACCAAGTAGTATGGGCGGACATAAAAGTGATACACACTCTTATCAGGATCATTAATATTTAGATTGCAGGTCTGTAAGCCCTTGAGGTCAGATTTAAAGGAATCCACTTTCTGAGCTTACGAAAAGACAAACTCTTTTACAAGGTGGTGGTCCAGGTATTTCAACTTTCCCTATGATCGTAGCATGGTCAAATAATATATCATGTACAATATTCAAACTATTAAGCAGCTCTGTTTTAAATTCCGCGCACGTAGACTGTTGGTCAGGTGGACTTCTTTTTATGCACTCGCGAATGCGCTTCTATAAATCATTTCGTAGAGTACATTTTTATGTTTATTTGCACCTAGTTCAAGTCACGAAAGTTTAACAAGTAATGAACCCAGCCAGATCTCGAACCCGTAGGTTTAGTTTCAGCGTCGCGAACCTTGCTTAATTGTGTTATGTAATCCATTTACTAAGACCACTTGTAATTTGAGCGCATTTTTCTTCTATATGGTATCAGTTTTACCGCTGGTGTACTTGAAAGGTTCTTGGAAGTTTCGCAGCATTCTCTGTGAATATAAAAATTTATGCGAGAGGAGAAGCAGTTCCAGCTACAAGATGTCGTGACAAGCACTTACTTGAGGAGCCATTTTGAGTTACTTAAATTTTTTTGCAAATGTTTTTGTTCAATGACTCGAGCGTGTATTGAGATTTTGACTTTTTTTTCGGAAAATGTAAGTTTGAGTAATTTACTTTGATTAGATTGAAAAATTTTGCGGCTGAAGTTGACCTGCGAAGGTCAACTTCCGACCATAACTCGGCTTTGATGTACAATGATACTTAAAAGTAGGAATAATGTTAATAACAACGATCAGGCATTTGCAATAGATGTTACAGTCAGTCAAGGGAAGTGTTACTAATATCATAAGGGATCTGGGTATTGTTGTGTCGATCCAAGAAAGACGATTTTTATGTTGTATTTAATTTGTGGGGAGTTGATGCACTGAGGATCTCAGTGCGAAAGAGATTTGTTAATCGTAATTTTCCCGTGAAGCGCCACGAACCCCAAAAAATGTTTTCGGTGAAAAAATTTCATGCTTTACTAATCGTCGCAGTGAAAGAAGTATCGCAATTTAATAACACCTCGCAGTTAACCCTCAATATATTATGTGCACGACGCGCATCTTGGGTACTGGGTAGGAAAGTTTGTTATGTCAAAAAGGGTATCGCGGGAACCATGCTACAAGGGTGCAAACTTGGGCTATTTAAGTGATGTAATTAATTTACTCCGATAATTTGTATTTTGGCAGACGGTATGTCCACGTCCACACAACACTCTAATCGAAAAAAACAAAATACCTGTGTGTGAGGTAATTCGACATTTTCGTTCTTTCCCGCGTTAATACTTTTCTTCCCTTTTGTGAGAATGTCGACCACTAACAATGTTTCAAGTAATCCACCCACCCTACAAAAAATAACTCTTGCATGCATAGCATGCCTATGTTTTGAAATCGGTGTATGCCCTTAGCCAGACTTGAGCTCACTATTTCAGTGTACTAGTCCGACACCCGTAGTATCACTACACTTGATTGCAGGAATCCAGTACCATCCAGGTATCCCAGTTACCCTGCTCATAAGGTCTAGTTGTCAATCATATTAAGAATAATTAACGCATCATACAGTTTGCCATAATTAAACCACAAAGAGTAAGGTCAATCGAGTGTGAACGCTTTCGGGCGTACCTGTCACGCAAACCAAGTAGTATGGGCGGACATAAAAGTGATACACACTCTTATCAGGATCATTAATATTTAGATTGCAGGTCTGTAAGCCCTTGAGGTCAGATTTAAAGGAATCCACTTTCTGAGCTTACGAAAAGACAAACTCTTTTACAAGGTGGTGGTCAAGGTATTTCAACTTTCCCTATGATCGTAGCATGGTCAAATGATATATCATGTACAATATTCAAACTATTAAGCAGCTCTGTTTTAAATTCCGCGCACGTAGACTGTTGGTCAGGTGGACTTCTTTTTATGCACTCGCGAATGCGCTTCTATAAATCATTTCGTAGAGTACATTTTTATATTTATTTGCACCTAGTTCAAGTCACGAAAGTTGAACAAGTAATGAACCCAGCCAGATCTCGAACCCGTAGGTTTAGTTTCAGCGTCGCGAACTTTGCCTAATTGTGTTACGTAATCCATTTACTCAGATCATTTGTAATTTGAGCGCATTTTTCTTCTATATGGTATCAGTTTTACCGCTGGTGCACTTGAAAGGTTCTTGGAAGTTTCGCAGCATTCTCTGTGAATATAAAAATTTATGCGAGAGGAGAAGCAGTTTCAGCTACAAGATGTCGTGAGAAGCACTTACTTGAGGAGCCATTTTGAGTTATTTAAATTTTTTTGCAAATGTTTTTTTTTCAATGACTCGAGCGTGTATTGAGATTTGACTTTTTTTTTCGGAAAATGTAAGTTTGAGTAATTTACTTTGATTAGATTGAAAAATTTTGTGGCTGAAATTGACCTGCGAAGGTCAACTTCCGACCATAACTCGGCTTTGATGTACAATGATACTTAAAAGTAGGAAAAATGTTAATAACAACGATCAGGCATTTGCAATAGATGTTACAGTCGTTCAAGGGAAGTGTAACTAATATCATAAAGGATCTGGGTATTGTTGTGTCGATCCAAGAAAGACGATTTTTATGTTGTTTGTAATTTGTGGGGAGTTGATGCACTGAGGATCTCAGTGCGAAAGAGATTTGGTTAATCGTTATTTTCCCGTGAAGCGCCACGAACCCCAAAAAATGTTTTCGGTGAAAAAATTTCATGCTTTACTAATCGTCGCAGTGAAAGAAGTATCGCAATTTAATAACACCTCGCAGTTAATCCTCAATATATTATGTGCACGACGCACATCTTGGGTACTGGGTCGGAAAAGTTGGTTATGTCAAAAAGGGTATTCGCGGGAACCATGCTACAAAGGTGCAAACTTGGGCTATTTAAGTGATGTAATTAATTTACTCCGATAATTTGTATTTTGGCAGACGGTATGTCCACGTCCACACAACACTCTAATCGAAAAAAACAAAATACCTGTGTATGAGGTAATTCCACATTTTCGTTCTTTTCCGCGTTAATACTCTTCTTCCCTTTTGTAAGAATGTCGACCACTTACAATGTTTCAAGTAATCCACCCACCCTACAAAAAATAACTCTTGCATGCATAGCATGCCTATGTTTTGAAATCGGCGTATGCCCCTAGCCAGACTTGAGCTCACTATTTCAGTGTACTAGTCCGACACCCGTAGTATCACTACACTTGATTCCAAGGATCCTGTACCATCCAGGTATCCCAGTTACCCTGCTCACAGGGTTTAGTTGTCAATCATATTAAGAATAATTAACGCATCATACAGTTTGCCATAATTAAACCACAAAGAGTAAGGTCAATCGAGTGAGAACGCTTTCGGGCGTACCTGTCACGCAAACCAAGTAGTATGGGCGGACATAAAAGTGATACACACTCTTATGAGGATCATTAATATTTAGATTGCAGGTCGGTAAGTCCTTGAGGTCAGATTTAAAGGAATCCACTTTCTGAGCTTACGAAAAGACAACCTCTTTTACAAGGTGGTGGTCCAGGTATTTCAACTTTCCCTATGATCGTAGCATGGTCAAATAATATATCATGTACAATATTCAAACTATTAAGCAGCTCTGTTTTAAATTCCGCGCACGTAGACTGTCGGTCAGGTGCACTTCTTTTTATGCACTCGCGAATGCGCTTCTATAAATCATTTCGTAGAGTACATTTTTATGTTTATTTGCACCTAGTTCAAGTCACGAAAGTTGAACAACTAATGAACCCAGCCAGATCTCGAACCCGTAGGTTTAGTTTCAGCGTCGCGAACTTTGCCTAATTGTGTTACGTAATCCATTTACTCAGATCATTTGTAATTTGAGCGCATTTTTCTTCTATATGGTATCAGTTTTACCGCTGGTGCACTTGAAAAGTTCTTGGAAGTTTCGCAGCATTCTTTGCAAGGATAACTGACAATACGACAGGCTTTTTCGGACTCACGATCTCGCTCTGTATTTGATTGAGAATGGCAGTTATACAAATATCCTTAATCAGCATGTAGAGTTATGTAACTTGGTTTAATGTGTCAAGAGGGCCTGTTCTAGTTTTCAATGTATTCAAAGCTAAAAGTTCCTCAGAAATATGATATTTTCGTGCCAATTTTGCCTTCGGAGTTAGAAAATTTAAAGGGTGGCTGTTATATACAAAGGCGGGGTCTATAAACAATAGCGCCTAGGTCCGTTTCATAAGGCATCGAATCGGAATAAATGGGCAAACAGCATATTTACGAGCTTCAGTAGCATCATGAGCAAGGGTTTTCTGTATCGCTGCAGAATTTATTTATTTTTCTCTTGATGAAACTCCATGCCATTGAATGAAATAAAACAAGCTAAAAAATTGCCGCTGCTGATTTAGTCTCCTCCGCAGCTCTTCTTTGGGATGTCACGCTACGCTTCTCCCATTCACTCTAAATAGACCTTTTTAACTTCATATTGGTCTGGTGTTCTGGTGGTGCGAATGGGTAAACAATAGTCGCGGCCACAAAATTTCCAAAAATTCGGATTTACATTTTTTTCTACAAGCAAAGAATCCTAAGCTTCAGAAGTGAAGCATCCATGCTATATTTCTTTCTAATTGTACGAATTTGCGTTTTAATCTGCATGAGTAAATGGTCAGAAAAATAATTTCGTCTTCTCGCGATTTTTAAATGTTGTGGTTGTTTTTCAGCTTCTTTTAATACGAATTTGGAATTTTTAAATGTTCTGAACATTCCGAAGACGACGATTTTAAGTTTACAGACAGCCGAGCGAGGAGATTGAAAGATGGCGCCTGTTTTTCACTGTCCTTAAGGTCAGCCAGAGGCTATTTGAAAGGAAAAAGTGTTTTGTTTTCGGCACGATAATGTGAGATAAGGGTGTCACAATTCAGGAAAATATAGGGAAAAATGGATTAGTTCAAAGCCTGGGAGAAGTTTGGGAATTTCACTTTGAGTCAGGGAAAATTTACATATTTGAAAGAAGTCAAGGAAAAGTGAAATTTCAAGTAAATATGATGTTGTTCATCTTGTTTTGGCTATTTTTGTGGTGAAAGATGGTAACAGTTTCTTTTTTGATGTTGATTATGTACATTGTTTAGAACAGTTGACAGATTCCTGACCACTGTATTCTTCATTTTTGGTAATGTAAGTTGAACTTGGTTTGTTAATGAAATCATACCCTTTTTTCTTCTGATATTGAATCGGTAAAATAAACTGATGATGGGTTTTCAAGAAAAATCAATTCTTTTTACATGTTACCATGAGGAATTATCAATTCATGTACACAGTATGTGACAAGCGGAAAGTTTTGATTTATGGGTGGAAAAGATGGCTGTGAAGGGGAGGTTTGAGGTCATTATCAGGATTCGCCCGTGAAATTATTAATTCAATTGGTCAGAGAAATTTACGTTCGTTAGGGAAAGTCAACGAATTTAAAAACCTATGACTGTGGCGACTATTATGTTAGGAGGCGTTTTTGTGTCTGTAAACTTCTCCGTTTCTTTAGGTGTATCTCCTAAACATGTAAAATAAGGAAGCCTGGCGTAGATTGAGCGTTAGACTTGAGATTTATAAATCTCCACGCGATCGCTTAGCAGTTCCCTATTGACATATAATAGTTTGGATTGTATAAGTTGTCTTCGATTTTCAGAAAAATATCCAAATGCCGGTTATTTAGTTATTAGAATCACCGGCTACCGATCATATAACCAGAGCGTACAGTGAACGTGAAACAAAGAAAACTTTACTTTTTTCGACCAAATATAGCTTCATTCTAACCTTAAATTACAAAATAATCATAACAGTTCTTTTAGTGAGATATTTGCTTCCTTGTTGTTCCCGTTGTATTTTTTGCGAACGATAAAGATCGCTGGCTGAAAAGTTTGTCTTTTCAATTCGAGGTGTTTCTACTCTCAAATTCAAACTCTTTTGTGGCCGATTTCTATATTATCACAGTCCCTTGTGTATATTTATCTCTGAAGATAAGTTAATATAAAAATTTGTGCAAGAGGAGAAGCAGTTTTATCGACAAGATGTCGTGAGAAGCAGATACTTGAGAAGCTATTTTGAATTATTTAAATTTTTCTGCAAATGCTTTTTTCCAATGACTCGCGTGTGTATTAAGATTTTGACTTTAATTCGGAAAATTTACTTTGATTAGATGAAAAAATTTTGTGGCTGAAGTTGACTTGCGAAGGTTTGGAGTAACCATAACTCGGCTTTGCTGTACAATGTACAAGTAATAAAAATGTTAATAACAACTATCAGGCATTTGCAATAGGTGTTACAATCAGTCAAGGGAAGTGTTATTGATATCACAAGGGATCTGGGTATTGTTTCGTCGATCCAAGAAAGACGCTTTTTATGTTGTTTGCAATTTGTGGGGAGTTGATGCACTGAGAATCTCAGTGCAAAAGAGATTTGTTAATCGTCTTCTTCCCGTGAAGCGCCACTAACCCCAAAAAATGTTTTCGGTGAAAGAAGTATCGCAATTTAATAACACCTCGCAGTTCTGCAAGCAGTTCATCCTCAATATTTTATGTGCACGACCGTGCATCTTGGGTATTGGGTCAGAAAAGTTTGTTACGTCAAAAAGGGCATTCCCGGGAACCATACTACAAGGGTGCAAACTTGGGCTATTTACGTGGTGTAATTTGCTCAGATAATTTGTATTTTGGATTACAGTACGTCCACACAACACGCTAATCGAAAGCAAAGGATGAAGAAAACAGTAAAGGTAAAAGCTTTATTGTAAACCTGTTGTGAAGTAGAGACAACGTTTTACCATTGAAGACTTAAGGTTTTAATAACCCGATTCCTAATTGATATACAAGTGCAAGAGTGATATACAAAAATGATTAAATAAGCTGTACAAACGAATACACACAGAGGACATACAAGAAAATCATGCAGATTCTAAGTTCGCGGCTGTACAGGCATAACTGGCGGAAAATGGGGGTAAGATTGAGCCATCATATCACTTAAGCAAGCACGGTGACCTATCTTTTTCATTGCAATTTTCGAAACAAACATTGGTTGGAAACATTTTAGGAAAGTTAAAAAAACTATTCAATATCTTTGTTGTCTGAAGAATGACATTAAGCGAGGCTTGCTGTTAAGAAATTTGTTATTGTTTTAGATTTTACATGTTTTGGGTTCACCCTCGGATGAATTCAGCTTCAAGTTAAACATGCTGTATGGGGGTTCGTTTCCTGAGGAACTCTATTCTCCAAAACATGATTATTGTTTTGTTTACGCCCTCGTGCGACCAGCTGGTTCCTGGTCATTTGCGGAAAGACTTTCTGATATCGTGGATTTGACCAAATTGGAGGAAAGAGGAAACAGTCTCAAGAAGATGGACATCACTGCCGCCTTGCAGCACATAAAACATATGATACAACCAGATATGGCTCTATTCCATTTTGTTTGTTTAAAAGGAATGACAACTTACAGGTCAGATCACTTACTGAGGGGTTTGTTAGTTTCAATTTGATGTAGTTTGTCTCGTCTGGTTTTAATGACTAACTCCGCGACTTTTGCGTCATTTTGCGAGTTCGTATAAATTGTTTATTCTCATGTTTTGCACGGAACAAGTTAGTTTACGCGAATTGAGTCGTTTGTTTCGCTACTAAACGTTAAATCCTTGACGTATGTTGATGATCTTACGCACTGTTCTACGCCCCTGTCATAGGGCACACTTCGATTCTTTTGATATTGCAAAAGTGATCAGTAAATAGATCTTATTCAAAATAGCGAGCATGATTTTCATTCATTGTGTGGATACAAATTAGCCTTCATGGCCTTCCATTTGAAAGAAAACTTCATTACTTTTAGAAATATTGTAGAGAACAGAAAGGTAACCTTACATGAATCAAAGAGAATAGTGACTGAAGTAGTTTCCTCCATACAATACAGAGATCTCTTATCTTTAATACTGACAGAGGCTTTTCGTTTTCTTATCCACAGGGCGCTCTTTGATGCATTGGATATTCCATTAGTGGGTGGATCAGTGGAATCGCGATATCTTTCCATGGACAAACTCATTACACGCGGTGTTTTGGTCTCTTGCGGCGATGTTTCATGCCCTGATGGATTTATTTACCACAAAGGTAGAAGTGACACCCTTGTAAGAGAAAACGATCTTTTTAGACCCCTTTTTGAACTCCTTCCCAAGCTTCTGTGCTCTGCTATTTCCTACGAATGAAAAATAAACCATTTGGCTAACGAAAAAATGTACACAATACTGAGTAGCTTAAGGTGTTGAAAACAGACTTATAGGAAAGAGAACAGTTTCAAATTGGACGCGACTCATACCTTACCGAGTCTTCCCTCTCTTGATAGCACCACTGTGAATTAAAAAATTAATTGTATCAATTTGCATCAATTTTACACCGTTTTACAATGCGTCTACGAAGCTTTGTTGACGCTAGTAACTCACCACCGACAAATAAAAAATGATTGGTAATTTAAATCGGATTGACTTTGAGAATTCTTTTGCCACAGGTGACCCTCTAAAGTCTGAACAAGTTAGGTATCCATGTGTTGTCAAAGCAAGTCAAGGAGAAGACACCAAAGCAGTGCGATTAGTGAAAGACTCCAAATTGCTTAACGCAGCTATTGAGCATGCGTTATCGTATTCAGACCATGTGATCATTGAAAGGTAGGTATTGCCGTTGAGTAAGTGTTGTAGTCGAGAAGGCGTGTAGGAGTGAACATGGTTTGGCTGTTTTGACCGTGATGATATTGATAAGCCGATAGGCCAAGTTGTTGTCAAGCTTATATATGAAGGAAACTGTAAGTCGGATCCAAAATCGGATGAATCTGATTTGTCGATGAAAGCATTTGTTTTAATACATGGAAGCATTTAAAATACTTGTGTAAATTTGACTGTAAGTGACTCAAAATACGAGGAAACCTGTTTATTCACAGACGTTTTTCTTGAAAAAAATTTGTGGATCTCCTGAAAGAGCCTTAATGCTTAAGTTTGTTAGCTCTTAGATCAGATGGTTCTCAATGAGGTTTGAGACATGCAAGAATTAAAAAGAGCAATTTTAATTGCTTGTCGAAAGTAATCCGAGTTGACATTAGTTTTTTTCTTCAGTATGCTTTGTGATTGGTAAAAATAATCATACCACCCTCTCGACCAATCAAATGGTAAAGCGAAAACCAATCCCGACTTGGTCGTTCGCGTTTTCCTGTGAAATTGGCTTGAATTGTTAAAAAGAAACAACGGGTCACTCTGAAGTACGAAGTAAGTTTTGGCGGGATACTAAACAAGAGGCTGCAAATCCTATCAGTGTACCAAGTAGGCCTTTGACTTTCAACAAGCTATTTCAGGAATGTAGACTCGTGGAGCTTTCCTATAACATAGTAGATTACTCTATCATAATAATTCGACCCCTCCTTGTATTCACTGGAGTGGGGCTGCACACCTTGCGTAGAGACTATATGTAATTTTACAGCCTTAGAACGTTTTACAATTAAAAAAATTAATCCTATTCAACGATTTTCTACTTCGTTTCCTCCTTAATTTTTTTTTTCGGCAGTTACATAGAGGGACGGGAAATTCGCTGTGCTGTTGTTGAATCAGCAGCAAATGGAGAATTAAAAGCTTTGTCGTGCATCGAGTATAAAGTACGGGAAAATGACATTCGAAGAACCGAAGACAAGCTCAGCTGCAATGAAAAAGGATTACCTGTTGGTAAGTACTGGAGATACATGTCCTTAATTCCCACAACAACACTGGTAATTAACATATGTGCTACGAAGCCACATTTTCAGGGCGTCGTCAGGCTAATTGGGTTCCCTGCCCAGAAATGTTTGCATCCCAAATAGCGGAGGTCTAGCATGCGTCACGTGATCCTACAGCAGCTTATTTATCATTGGTACCTCAAGGGAGGTACCGTACCTTTGCCGCTATTTTGCATACCAGGTAAAACATCAGTGGCTATCGAAGGCGATTGCGTGCAATCTTTGCGAGGTTATAACGATTCCCTTAGTGCAGGGAATAAATAAATGAGTAAAAAAAAAAGAAAAAAAAAAAAAACGGTGAGAGGCTTAAATGTTTTGCAAGAGTAGATACCTACTCTATAAGTACTATGGCAAGCTATAATGGACAAAAGAGGTCGAGAATTTTTTACCTCGAGTCGAGAATATTTTTGCCGAGTCGGGAATATTTTTGCCGAGTCGAGAATATTTTTGCGGAGTCGAGAACAATTTCTTCATGTCGAATTCTGACAACCAGTCGAAGATTTTTTCTGGAGTCGAGATTTTTTTGTCGAATCGAAATTTTTTCATCGAGTCGAGAATACCCAACATGTCATGCCGTCATTTGCCGCCAAAATGATCAAACAATATGCCGGTTTGCAGATCTGTTGGTTACGTAACTTTTTTATAGATCGTTGTCGTTCTTCAAATTGCTGACGGTCCTGTGGAGGACTTGGAGAGGTTTCTGTTGTCTATACAGGATTGTATTTCTCATATAGAACGATGCACAGCTCTCGGAAACGGCAGAAATATGGAATATACACACGATCACTTGGAAGGCTTTGTTGAAATAATCGTAGCGTTTTATTTGGTTTTCGCCAATGTCAGAAGAGTTAAGTAATATATTCCGTCAAGCATCTGCTTGGTCTTTCAGCATTGTCTAAGACATATAGAGACATATTACGCCATTCTCAACATTTCTAAGCTACAGGGTGCCATAAAGAAAGTTTGTGTTTTGTATTTATCATACAAGTTCCTTCTTTTTTTTTTTTGCAAAGAAGAATTTTTTTTATGCATCATAAGTGTTTTCTGCTAAAAAGTGAAGTTTTAAAAGTAACTGTTGACATATTTGGGGGTTTTTTTAGCGACATACCTGAAGTTTAATGTGAATTAGAGGCAACATGGTTCTTGTTCTTTTTCTTGTGGTAAATTCATGAAAAGTGTGCTGACAAAGCATACTGCACAACAAATATAAAATGTGGTCTTGCTTTCCCATTATATGAAATTTATACATGAGTATTTTTGATGGACATGGTGTTATCCTACACTTGCAAGTACCAGTGTCCCTTCAATTTTGTTAATAGCGTTTGTGACAATAAATAATTTGGTTTATTGCTTTGAAGTTAGCTTTCTGTTGGACAATTCAGGGCCAAGTTCTTCAAATCAAGGTTCATCTGGGTTAAGGCAGCCTATAGGTTTTGATCACACTTAACCCAGGATTAGTATCAACCTTGTTTTGAACAACTCAGCCGTGGGCTTATCGCGAGTAGTCTGTTGTGAGGGTAGTTTTTATGTGCAGCCTGTGGAGGATTTTTTCTCTCATCGGTAACCCCTTCCCACCCCTTGTCCTAAGACTGCATATCTTTTGTTTAAGTCATGCTTGTAACTGGAGAATGTGTACAATATGCAGGCTCATAGTTTCCCAACTGTCCCAATGATAAAAAATAATTCTGATGAACACAACAATTTTTTAATACCCATTCAAGCTTCTGCATGTCATCTTCGATTACCATACCTCGGCTTCGTGTTAGTCCCTTTCTGGTTCTAGGAAACGTTTTTTCCAATTCTCTACAAGAGAATGGTTTATCACTATTATGTGAAAGGAAGGCAGTAGTTATTGAGCTACAACCAGTCCATAAGACCATGCTAGTTTTATCTTTTAATAATCTTAATGCACCAATTGAACGATTTAAAAATATGAACTATTTTATTTAATTTTAAACAACAAAAAGGTCTTCAAATCTATTTGAAAGAGCTCAAATGATAGTTACATTTCAGTATCTGAGAAATTTCAATGGTAATGTTAATTGGGCTGTTTGTTTCCATGGAAATGAAAAAAAAAACAGTTTTGGAACAAAAATGATCAAGATCATCAGAACTAATGAGCTAAAGTGTAAATCGTGTTTGAACCTTCATAATGATGATTGGTATAACTATACCATAAAATTGCTTGTGGTAATACCAGAGAGGTTTTTCATGCTTACTAGCAAACTTTGAAACAAACAAGTCAACGCTCTTGCTAAACTGCTGCTGGTCATTGATCATGGAACTGGACATTACATTGCATTACATTAAAATATTTTAAGTTGCATTATTGACTATTTAATAGTCAGGAATGCAACTTTAAATGATGATTGGTATAACTTTAAATAATTAGCAATGGCAAGGCAATGTCCAATTCTATGATTGCCATCATCTGCCAATGGATCAGACACTAGGCATTTTATGCCATCTGCTTGATTGTCAGTCAGTTGAATGGTGCTTTCAGGCACAGAAACCATGTTTTCTGTCTTGATACTGGCCACAGGTCCATCAGGATCAACACCATACAGGGAAATATTACCTATATCAATGTCATCCACCCCAGAGGGAACAAAGTCAGAGTAACAGAGTACCAGGGGAGACATGTTTGCCATAGTACGTAGACCATGGTGATTCCAGTGGGAAATATACTCATCCAAAGATGCCTGAATGGCCCGAACGTTAAGACAGTGAAGGACAAACAAATCACATTCATCATGTGCGTCAAGAATACCAGTATTTTCCATAAAAATGAATAGATCAATGTAAAGTGAGGAAACAACCCTGTTAACCTCTGCTCAAAGCCTCTCTATCCTTTGATTATGCATGCTGCGTCCAGCTATGAAGCTTTCTCTAATTAACCCCTTCTGATCAATCATAAATCGAGCAACATTCACGTTTCTCGACTCCATAAAAAAATTTCGACTCCGAAAAAAATTCTCGACTTGAGAAAAAAATCTCGACTTGATGAAAAATTCTCGAGCACTTTTGTCCATTATGGCTTGCCATAGTATATGCCAACTTTTTCTCTCGATCGTTGGATTAATGGCCGGAGGTCGAGTTTCCTGATATAGTGAACTACTTTCACTTTTCAACAAGTAAGTTCGTAAAGGAACACAACACAGCTTACAAATGTATCCAGTCCTACCGAAACTTCGTTGCTGATTGGGTGAGAAGTATCTTTGTGGGATACTAAGTACAATTAAGCAATTTGTTCAGTAGTCATAAGACTTGGTTATAACCAGTGGCTATGCTAGCGCGTTTTAAATTGCGACTTTTTTTATTTCAAATAACATATGAAGTTATTACTCTGAGACTTCTCGATTACTATTTTCTCATGTTTAAATTGCTGCTTATCACTTAAAACTCATCCAGTAGTCATGAAGTATCTTCGTTAACACTCATGATACTTTTACAGGGGAAAAGTTTTCAACCAGACTGTATTAACAATTTGCTTGTTTCTGTGTTTGTGTTCATTTTAGGCAAATCTCCAGAAACTAAAACATGGTTCCTTGATCCCAGAAAAGAGGAGAAGCTAATTCATCGTATTCAACAACAAAGTTGCCGAGCTTTTCGAGAGTTAGGTTTACAGGATTTTGGTGTATTCGACTTCCGAGTCGACATTGAAGGAAATCCATTCCTCTTAGAATGCAATTTATTCTGTTCCTTTGGTCCACAGAGCGTTGTCAATATAATTGCCAAGGATTCAGGTTTTACAGATGAAAGTTTGTTTGACATGATGGTGGAGAATACTTTGCTGCGCAAGCGTCAACAAGAGAATAACAATTTTAATCTGTGATAAAGTCAAGGAAATGACGACACTAACAAAATGTAAGGAAGCGTTGTGATACAAAATGAATCGCTCAGTTTTCTCTTAGAATTGTCTTTAGTTTCCAAGAAAGGGAATTATCTTACAATGATGCGTCGTCTTCGACAGTGTAAGGTTACTTAAAGAAAGAGTTGAATAAAAGAACGGAAATTTGGACTTGAAATTTTGTTTAGAACTCAAAGAAAGTTAACTAAAATGTTGCTTGATTTGGAAAAAGCTGGTAAGATTAGTGACTATACGTACAAAATATTATACTGACAGTAGTGACGGCCTATGTCCACGTTTTTATGGCTTACCTAAAATTCATAAACCAGGAATTTCTTTGAGACCTATTGTCTCTTTAGTTAATTCCCCGACTTATGCAATTTCTGGTCATCTTGCGAGAATTTTATCGCCTGTTGTTGGGAATACTGATTACACTGTCAAAAATTCCTGCGAATTTGCGGATTTCATAAGAGATAAAACTCTTAACGCTTGTGAGGAATTAGTATCTTTCGACGTTGTTTCGCTCTTCACTAAAATCCCAGTTGATCTTGCCGTTAAGGTTGAGGAGGAGAGACTCAGAAAAGATGCTTCCCTAGGACAAAGACCTTCTTTGCCTGTGGAGGATATTATTCATCTGCTGTCTTTTTGCCTCAAAACCACGCAGTTTGCATGCAACAGAACCTTCTATAAACAGGTTTTTGGTACAGCTATGAGTTCACCCGTCTCTGCAGTCATTGCCAACATGAAGGGCCCTAGCCACTTCACCGGTTAAACCCTTTTTCTGGAAACGATATGTCGATGCGAGCGAAGTTACTTCCGTATGAAGCGGAAGCACTTTTGTATGGAGCGAAGTAACTTTTTTTGTGGAGCGATCCAACTTCTGGCTAAAGCGGACTGACTCGGAGCGATATAACCATGGAGCGAAGTGACTGGATACCCGTAATAAGAATAACTTTATCTGTAATAGTGTAGTTTGATCGTCCGGGTGAGTGTAGTCCTGAGAAGGACTGTTGTCGGTAGTGGTGACTGACGTTTCGACAACCTGAGCGGAAGTCATCATCAGAGTCAAGTGAAAGGTTCAGTCGTTTAAAAGCTCCCTTTCCGCTTAATGATCAAAATTTTAAAAGTAAATTAAGTAACCCAAGTCATTAGTTTGTATGCTATTTCCGCTCATGCGCTAATTTTCCTTCTGTGATACCTTGGAACGCCGGATGTACTCTGCTAAATAGTAGACGCGCTTACTCAGCTATTTCAATGCTTGCACAATCATTGAAAATAACCAGTCATTCTTAACTTGCTTTTTAATACTGTTATCATAAACTTTGATGAAGAGGTTGGAAGAGTGAAAACCAAACTTTTCCAGGAGAAAAAAAAAAAAATTTATCCATGTCATTTGTTACCCTTCCAGATAAAATGTAAATTTCACACTGGTCTTTAAAGAATATTGGCCCCTATGATTACAGTATGTTCTAGTGTCTTTACCTTTCTCTAACAAATGCCACCTATATGTAATTTCTGCAAGTGCCATGTTTTAAGAAAATTTCCAGTAAAATGAGGGAAATCAATTCAAAATTACAATATAATGAATTGTTATGATTGGTGATACTAATACCTAATATTTCCTTACTCTAGGTTAGAGTTATTCGCATCATACTGTAGAGGGCATGCCATGTCGAAGGTTGCGACTGGCCTCCAAGATGGTGTGAAGCTACTGGAATTATTTGGAGGATCAAGGAAAAAGAAAATTTTCCTGTGGCTTCCAAATCCAGGTAAGTGACTTAACTTTTATTACAAAAAACTATTAGCATGATGTCTTTCTTTCTCAGTCCTCTTCATTCCGCTGAACCTTTTTGGTCTCATGTCCTCCACTTCATGCCATGGAAGCTGTCTCTTCCCCATTTCCAAAAATTTTTTTTCATCACATGTTATAGTTCCTTACTGTTGACATCTATCCTCAAAATTGGCAACTTATAGAGTTTGAAACCCATCTACATTTTATATCCCAACTCTCAAAATATTTCACTGGTTACCAATAGACAAACGCCCCTTGGCAAACCAGTACAGATGTTTTCTTGCTGCTGTGAATTTTTAGCAAGTTACATTTGTGCACTGTTCTAAACTCTCTCATTGTCTAAAAAAATTAAAACTTTCAAAGAAAACATGTTCCTATTTAGGTAAACTATCGAAGCAATCAACGACCATGTTGAAGGCAATCAGTCAGAAATTCACAATTATGTCAAGAAAAATGTCCCTCAGTTGCAATATGTGATTGACCCCTCGTGACAAGAATCTCATTCTTGATTTCAGCCTCACATACCTCAACATCCACAGTATCAACTCCAGTACCTTCATCGACCCAACCTAACCCCATTCCTTCACTAGCCCAAACTAACCCCACCCCTCCACTAGCCCAACTAGCCCAACCTGACTCCACCCTTCCACTGGCCCAAAGTAGCCCCACTCCTCCACTAGCCCAACCTAACCCTGCCATTCCACTTTCCCAACCTAACTCCTCCACCAGCCTAACCTAACCCCACCCATCCACCAGCCCAAACTAACCACACCCCTCCACTAGCCCAACCCAACCCCACTATTCCACTTACCCAACCTAACCCCAATCCTCCACTAGCCCAACCTAACCCTGCTCCTCATTCATCCCGACCCAGCTTTGCTCCTCCATTGGCTCACCCCAACACCACATCATCCACTTCAGAAATTGGAGGTAAGGAATATTTTTTCCATACACACACTACGAAGGACAAAAAAAATAACAGTATTGAAGAAATACAAGTGCAATTGATTTGAATTGCAGTTCTTTAATTAGTGATATCTAGCATACACCTTAACAATATTTATGTTTATTATCATGAGAGATTATGACCAACTGCAGCAATCCATGCATGATGGTAAGTGGGTGTAAATATTTTGAGGCTGCAGCTTCTTAAATTTAATTGTCTAACATATTCTGGGTCATGAATGATTCATTAAAACTATGATGCTCATGGTCTGATACCAAGAACTTGTTAAAACATCCCTAACTGAAACATCACATCAAACTAAACAACCTGTAATGGTTGTGATTGTTTCCCTGTTTAACTGTCAGTAGCAATTTTTATTAGTACTGATGTTCAAACATTTCAACAGATAGTGATTTGCCTGAAATTGTTGGATTGCAGATGATCAACCTCAAGGTATTACCAGTTGATACAACAACCCACTCATCTGGGTTGTTGACATTATTTGTTTTTTATTCTTTATGTTCTAAGAAAATTTACAATTTTAACACTCTTGCCATTTATTTTTTCAGTCAAAGCAGATGCCCTTCAAACAGGTAAAAACTGTGATATCTTGCCATTGATTGGTTAAGATTAATTGCGAGGATTATGATTGGAGATAAATTGTACCATCATTATATATGCGTGCCATATTAACCAGACTTTATTTGTGGATTAGTATAAATATTTTAATTTTTATTGGTATATCATCTTTACTATCATTGACTGATGCACTGGCTTTATGGTGACAATTATTTACAGTACAATACATCAATAATGGTCAAATTGAATGTTCTAATGGGAAAACATTTAAATGTAGTTGGTGTCCTTCAAGAAGACTTAAGCCCAGTGGGAGCTGTTCGTCAAAACCTCGGAAAAGGTACCATTAATTGAAAAGGTAGATTGGATACACAGGATGCATGCTTCAACACAGGTTTTACAGTAGTTTGCCAGGCTTCATTCTTTTTCAGTTCAAATTGTAAAAAAAGTGGACTTTACTGCTTGCCCTGAAGGGTAAGCCATGACTAGCATGGTACTGGCCCTTGAGTGATTTTTACTGGCCCAAAATGATGTGATTTGAACGAACCTTGAAAAAATCTGCCTATCCATTTGGCAAGTGAGAGTAAGAATTCACTAGCCTAATCAGAAAATCCACTGTTCCTGGGCTATCATACATAACTTTCTTTGCACACTGTAGTTGTAGAGTTGAGTCAAAGTATTCATAAAGGAATTTAAGACCACTGAAGCTTAATGTCTTTCTTTCATGTGTACCACTTAACAAATTCAATAGTTTTGGTTATTTGCTTCCCTAGTGGCATTAGGGAGACTGGACTGGACAGGGTGGAGGAGGTACTTCTATGCGAGAGGGAACTTTACCAAAACTATGCTGTGCTGGAGTCCCTACCTGTCTTCTTAAATCTCACCTTTGAAGAGGCTAGTATTGAATATTATAGCTCCACTATACATGGAAGTCTGTGTCTAACTAGTGTGCTAAACATATGAGAAAAATGCAAAGATATGTGTGGAAGGTTCCATACATGTACATTTTTGTCCACTTCCTTTGCATGTGGCTACAGAAAAGTGCTACACCATAACTACAAAACCTAGTGTGCATGTTAGAGTTGCGACTAATGTGGTTATAGGGGCTCCCTACTCTAAGCATACAAGGTATTTGTCTGAGTGAAACTACACAAAGCTCTAAGTAATGCTTCAATTTCCCTTTCACTGAGGGAGGGAAAAGAAGAAATAGGACTTAAATTTTAGTGATTTGGCTTTCAAAAGGTTTCCATTAAGCTCCTACCCAATCAAAACACCCCAAAGAATACCCAAAAATAAATTGTCCAGCCCCAACCCCTTCCTCTGCATTCTTAATAGCATTTGCAACAAGGACCACTATCATTACAAAGAAATTTCAAATCAAACTCTCCTTCCAAACACATTTCAATTCTGTTAAAGAACTGGAAAAGTAGATTTCTCTGAAAAAACCAAATTTTCCTCAATTAAACGCTTCTCTTGCTTGCTTTTTTGCAGATATGCTTCCAGGCAAAGAGAGATTATAAAATGTTTACGCTAATTATCATAAAACAGGGTGATAATTTTGATCCTGTGCGAAGGTTAGCTGCTTGCTGTTTATTGTTATAAAATTAGGATCTTGTGCCTGTACGGCTACAGAATAGTTATTAAGACAGCATTACCTTGAAGTTCAAATTTCATTGCCTAGTACTAGAAATTCAAATAAAGGCTAAGGGATTCCTGATCAGAAACTGAGACAGGTCATATATCAGCCATTTCCAGAAATCATAGCATTATGTTACTAAACATGACATGACACAACACTCCAACAATTAGAGTATGCACATGTTATACAATTTTCCAACTTATATCAAATTCCATACTCAGGTTATCAAAGTGAGAATAATTCCCATTTGTCAACAAATCCTTAAAAGAAATCAGTTTTGTTTCTATTTTTAACTATCTGCAGAATTTGTAGCATGCTCCAAACATTATCAGTTGATCTGTACTACTGGATGGCATGTATGGAGAGTGCAAGTGTGAGAAGAGGTAAATCAATTATCCCAAAGCTGATTCTTGGTATAGATGGTGTACACTGAAGAGAATTAAGCAGTATAGCAATTCAAGAAGAAAGCCAGAAAAATTCTCCGTTTAGTCAGCTTTCATCTGATCATTGTCTATACATTTACACACAAACATGATAAAAGTATGACAGGTAAAAAAGGTTCCCTTCAGTAATTATAGACCTTACAGATAATGGATGCCCTCTGCAGTACTCAGCTGCACATAACTACATTGTGTTTTACTGGAAAGTTGTCATCATTAAAACATTTTAAAATTGGATACTATGGTAAATGTAATAAAATAGAACAATAATGATATACTGTAAAAAGAGTTGGTGTTGTTCATTGTGGCAAGTATACTATGTTTTGATATATTATCACCAACAACTTCACTCAAAGATTTACCGTTCAAAGCTGATTAAAAAATTTTACTCTCAAGTTATTTGTTGTTCAAGTAGTTTACATCAATTGCAGATGGATACTACTATTTTATCATAGAGAGTTTAGTAAAAATCTTTCTTTTTTCAGTGATATCAAAGTTTGGCCTAAATAACCACGAGAGTCAGATTTTTTTCCTGGCACCAACCTCTGCCAGGCCAGTCCTGGTTGAACGTTTTTCAGGTAGGTTTTCATATTTTAGAGTAAACTTCAACATACATTATTTACCATTTTCTGTAAACTGCACTTTTCAAACATACACAGTACAGCACTTACCCTTTCAAGCATGCAATCACAATGAAAATACAATATGCACTTGACAGAAGAATGAAAATGATACACAAGATATTGGCAAGGAAAAAGAGGAAACATCTTTTGCAGTAGTTGAGATTACCTTCCTTGCCAACACCAAAAGTTGCAATGTTGAAAAACACTCTTCCTTGAAAGTTCATAACTTGTTTTGTTTAGGCCAGACCCTTGCCAACATCAACATGGGTGACATTGAAGATTGCATTCAGCAGGGCCAATTGACCCTTCAGAATTTAAAGAAGAAATGGTAAGATAATCAGCACAACAAAATTCCTTTATTGTTAATCCCATAAAGTAGACACTT